ACAAAAAATACAACGGTCCGTTTTTTGCAGCTGCCTCATTGGCTAGTTATAAATTAGTTCATTCATCCTGTTATCAGACTAAGGTGGYGCTAGATATTGTTTTAGTTTATTTATTTTATTTATTTATTTTTGAAGAAGAAGAAATGAACCGGACTAGCTATATTATTAAAAAGAAAATACAGTTTGCATTTAATTAGTTAAAGAATTACAAACGTGTTTGTTTAATTACAGGCAGCCGCCTGTTTATTACAAAGTTATTTAACCAGCTCCACCTTAAATGTTTTGATAACAAGGTTAACTTTCAGTAACCATCTTTTTTACTTTTCCAATATCTGTTTTTAAATTGAAAAATGACCAAAAAGTAAACGGACTGTTGAGATTCCAGCTTTTGTCATTGTTGGTGCAATTACTTTGTCCTTCCAGCAGAGGGCGCCCTTGTTTCATTTTGTTGATACTTGATGACACAAGGATTTCCAGTGGGGGGAAAAAAAACCCCATATTATATTAGTTTTACATATGTAGAAAGTAGAAAAAAACCTGAAACCTATTAGTTTTTTTTTTTTTCAAATTAAATACATTTATCTACATATAAAGAACAGCATGAGGTGTATGTCAACATGGTTGGACACTGAGTGCATCAGAACTGAAGTCTCAGGCTGATCAATGCTTCCAAACGGCTTCAGCTTAAGTAATTTTTAGTATTTATTTTATTCTAATTTCAAACCGTTTGTAGATTATTCACTGGACACACCTCAGAATATAAATTAACATCATGATTCAGTGACTTGTGATCTTTCACTCACGTCCTCTTTGTCTGTGCAACATTTAAAGAATGTCGTTTATGGTTCGTCAAATTTTACAACTATAAATTGGAACAYGCAGCTCTTATATTTTTTTATTTGTCCTTTTTCTAAGCGGTTGTTTTTCACTCCAACCTCTTCCTAACCTTATGAACCGGATTAGCTTCTGATGAGAGCTCACATAAATATATAAAAACAAAACCGCACCCTTGAGAGCGCCGCGGGATCGGCTTACTAACCCAAGCTGTGTCCTTGCAGTGTCCTGGATTTAAATTTGACTCTTAATCTCTGCTCTCCCTCCCGTCTTGTCGAGTCATGTTCACCGTTTCTTTTACCGAGGTGCAAATTTACTGGAAAAGATTTCTGCCCAAAGAAATACTGCACCGTTGTTGTGCCGGTGAGAGCAGAAAGCGAGTTTAGCTTTGTGGCTTTAGAGAGTTTAATAAGTCAGCGGGGAGCGGAAAGCTTCCAGCAGTAAGCTCGCTGTAAATCTAAAAACTGAGTTTGTGTTTTTCAAATCTAGATTAGCATCAGAAACATTCAAGTATATTTCTGCTAAATTACAAGCCAGCTTTCAGCAGCGTGTTGTAGTGACATCACTGGTGATGGGATTAATGCTCCGTTAAATGAGGGATGTTTCCACGCTGGGACATTTCTGTCAGCTCAGCTGTTGTGAGGAGCTGCTGCTCGTGATTAGAGGTATTAATCTGCAGATTATTCTGTGTTTTAAAGTTTACAGCAGGTTGTTGTCTTGTTTCTGCAGCAGAAGTTTGTACGTTGTTCTGTGCGGGCGGAGGTGAGACACCTACGGAAAGTGCTTTGTCACAGACTAAACGTGGAAAAACACCAGGTGAGTCAGTGGTGAAGGTGATAAATGATAATATTGTTTGGAGGCTGTTTTAAAGGGGACGTATCCTGCAAAATCCACTTTTTTAGCTGTTAAACACATTTTGTTGTGGACCTGCAGTCGGTTCTGTTTGGGTCAGACTTTTTAGCCCGTTCAGTTTTCTCTATTTTCTGTTTTCTGGACTATTGCATCAAATTATCTGTGGCGGAATTACCGTAGAAGGTCTGGAGTTCCCAACTACAGTATCCTCATCTTAATTCTCCTCTGGTCCTGGGTCAGACTSTGGTTCTGGGTCAGACTGTGGTTCTGGCTCAGACTCTGGTTCTGGGTCAAACTCTGGCTCCAACATGTAAGGCTGGATGGACAAGTCTTCTGTTGACATCTTTTCATTCATTTGTAAATAAAACATTTCTGTATTACTAGTAAAGGTAACTCCCTCTCTCAAACCGGAGTGGACCGGTCTGGAAGCAGGAGGGGGGCGGGGCTTGAAGCATCTTAAAGGAACAGTAACAAAACTAGCTGCTTTGAGACACACAGCAGAAAATTTGTGAAAGAGGAGCTGGTAAAGTTAAAATAAGGAGGAATTCAAACAAAACATTGTAGTTCCACTTCATACAGACCCCTGAATGATTTAAACATGAAAATGAAGGATTTAAAAGCATCATATCTACTTTAATGAATATATACCACAGCCTCCAACCCTGATTTTATGAAGCCCCTCTGTTCAGGGGGGCTCCCGACAAATACCTGACACCAGAGTCCACTCCTCCCTGCCAAGAAAAAAACAATGAAAATGAAAATGATTAACCTCATTTTAATTTATTGTGCAATTTAATTGATTTATTTCATATTGCGACTGGCCTACAAACGTTAATGCATCGATTTTTTTTTTTTGAGAGTTTTAAAGTATAATTTACTCAAGAGTAACTGGATGTTTGTTCATGATGAGTTTGTTTTTATTTGCAGGACACATTTTTTAAACTTTAAATATATGAAACTTAAGTTTTTGTTTTTTTTCTCACAGATGTGACTTGTTTTTATTGTACATTGCTCTACTTTTTAGATATAAATAGAAACTGGTCAAATTTTGAATTCCTTCCATCGACCTGCTGGACTACAGATGTATTCATGTTGATTAATATACATGGTTCCTTTTTATGAAATAAATTCAAGTTATTCTTTGGAAACTACAACATTTTATCAAAAGGTTCAGTTTAGTAAATATATTGCAACAAATGTGGGTCCACGGTCAACGCAAACAAAACACTCAGCTGAATGAAGTGTGGATATTAGTATTTGGTTGAATACTTAGTGTCCTGTCTGATGCGTGTTTCCTGCTGCAGGTGCAGATGCTGTTTAATAACGAGTCTCTGCCTGATCACATGACCATGAAGCGGTTATGGCTCTCACACTGGTTTGGAAAGGTAAAACTGTCAAATCATTTTGTCACATTTGTTTATTTGACAGAATTTTAAACTGAAGGCAGGAAGTCTAATAGATGAGCTCCTGTAAACATGTCTGTAAATCAGTCTGACGTGAGTGTTTGTCTCCCTGCAGGCTCAGCCGTTAGTTCTTCACTACACCATCAAAGACAAAAGGAGCAGATAGGACCAGGCTTCAGATTCAACACAGCTGTACATTTTGTTTTTGTACTATACATATTCTATTTTAATAGTGTTTGTGTACATAAACTTATTTTCCTTGTTTTGTATTTTTGAAAATAAATCTGAAGTTAAAAAAAAAACAGATCTCTGTTTCTCCACTAAAATAAAAATGTGCCTCACACAACGTCACATCTATAAAAGTAAAACTTCAGTAATTTATCAAGTTTTATTTAAACTTTGTTCTAACAGTCTGTTTTGAGTTCTAATCCTCGTTTGGATGTTTTTGACAGAAAAATGGAACCTCTAGTTTTAATTTCTCCTGATCTTTGAGGCTTTTTAACACTTTTTTTTAAATCAGTGAAGCAGCGTCTGAATGAAGACTAATAATTCATACCTATAAAATGTCCTGATGCATCTCAGTAATCCAGGTAAAAAATCAAAAAGAAAAAACTTGTATAGGTCTTCTGGACGGGTTCTTCTTTAATGAAACGTTTCGTCTCTCCTCCAAGAGACTTCTTCAGTCTGAGAGTTTCAGGCAAAATTCAGGCCTTTAAGCCCTGCCTCCATGTGACTGATACTCACATCACAGAACCATAGCCATGTGATGTGAGTATCAGTCACA